TGTCTTGGAGCCTTTTGTGAACACTACCCCATAATACTATCTTCACTGTCACATTAGGCTACTTGTTACACCTTCAAAGAAAATAACACAATGCTCTCTAGAATTTAATATCAAAAGTCTGTGTAACCATATCAAAGTCTCTAGCCCATACTACACTCTACATACTACATTCCACATGTATATTTACATATATAAAAGCAAATTGAAAAATTCTGATACCACCCTACTTGTACCTCCAAACCAAGATTCATCAGTATCATTTATATTTCAATCTAAATCACATCTATTTACACCTCTAACTACTCTTTTGACAACCAGGAATAGATCTATTATTGAAAATAATCCCTGGATTAAATACAAGAAGAAAAAGAAAAAAGAAAGACAGAAAAAAAGAGTTACGCCTACCAAAATGCTGTTTAAGCCACCTGCACATAAGGAACAAACAAAGGTATATACATCACCTCCGTCTTTCTGCATCATGAGGCTCCATTCCTGGGAGAGAGATGGCAATGGAGGAAGGCGCACCCACATCATATTTCCTTACAGGTCTTCGGCAGATTTTGAGCCGCACTAAACAGGAATACACAGAGTTTCCAACAACTTGAATTGGTGGCTGAAGAACAGTTGGAAAGAAGCTGAAAAATGGGGAATGACATAAACATCCAATATTCTTTCAAATATGCTAAATGCAGCATTAAAAGCACATACCCACATCCAATATGAAATAATTTTCTGGACAATAGTACTTCTAAAACAATTTCCATAGACTTTAAAAGCTAGTACACATTATCAGTATGTGTATGGTATTTATTTGGTGAATAGACTATCAAAATGAAAGGATATTTCTAAACTCTTAGCTTAATACAGTGACTGATCCACATTTAAAAAATATTTTCTACGTCTTGGGTAATTCATGCACCAGAATGGGGTGTTCAATCTGTAATGTAATACAAAAATATCACCAAAACATCTAATACATTCACACAGTATACAAGAAAATCTGACACAATATCACCATAATTATTATAAAACTAAAATATCATAATTCTAGAATTTTCTAAAAGTACAAATTACCATGATCATATGAAATTATTACAAACAAAATCACTCTTCTGTGGCTACTAGGACAGCTTAGCCTATCTGATAATCAATGTAGTACAAAATTTCCTGGATATCATGAGACTTATAGAATATGGGTACAAAATCATATATTGAAATATATATTAGACTGCTTATGAAAAGTGTTACACATGTCATTAAATTTCACTAGGGAGGGTGTAATTTTGGGTACCAAACTTACTGGATACATTTTTTGCACTAAGAAAACCATAAAAAATTGAAGTATAAAGTAACAATATATGACAATCATTCCTACTCTCATTGAGTTGATTATATAATATATAATACACATTAAACAGATGGATCATGTATTAGGTGACTATTATGAAAAAACAAAGCTAATCTAAAATCACTTACAGTTTCACAAGAATTATTTTGTAAGGTAAAATAATATCTACAAGACCTTAAGTATCGGTAAACGGAGAAATCCTTCAACTGCTACTTTAAGTTCATACATACTGAAAAGCCTAAAGGTATAGCAGTGGTGCATAACTAGATTTACATTCACAAATCCCTTTCCAGAACTTAATATGCAGGACCAGAAAATGTTAATAGCTAACAGTAACAGTTTCATTATTCTAAAAGTAACTTTTCTACATACATTAATAATTACAATAATAAAAAGATTTACACATGCATACAATGCACATGCACAACCAACTATAATCAAAGAGGATGAAACAACTGGATAAATTTAATAAAATACAAATTTGAATTAAGAAAGAGGTAATCAGTATCTGCTTCTCAATACTGATGCTTGTTCTCTATAGCAAGCAGCAGCAATCAAATGAATAATATAAATAAATGGGAAACCACTGTAGATAAAGAAAATATGTATATAAAAAATATATAGAACCTGTGTAATATATCATTAGGCTACCTAGGTGTTACTGCTCTGAACTAAGAGACAAAAATTATACAATTATATACATGTAAATCAAAAATTCATTTAAACCTTACCAAACTAAATACAAATAAATAAATAAACAAATACGTTGATAAATTAAGTAGATTCTATATAGTCTACATGCATATATATATATATAATATATATATATATATATATATATATAATATATATATATATATATATATATATATATATATATATATATATATATATATATATATATATATATATATATATATATATATACATATATATATACATATATATATACATATATATATATACATATATATATATATAATACATATATATATACATATAATATATACATATATATATATATATATATATATATATATATATATATATATATACATATATATATATATATATATATATACATATATATATACATATATATATATAACATATATATATACATATATACATATATATATACACATATATATATATACATATATATATATATATATATATATATATATATATATACATATATAATATATAATATATATATATATACATATATATATATATATATACATATATATACATATATATATATATATAAATATATATATGTATATATATATATATATATAATATATATATATATATATATATATATATATATATATATATATATATATATATATATATATATATATATATATATACATATATATATATATATACATATATATATATATATATATATATATACATATATATATATATATTTATATATATACATATATATATTATATACATATACATATATATATATATATATATATATATATATATATATATATATATATATATATATATATATATATATATATATATATACATATATATATATATATATATATATATATATATATATATATATACTATATATATATATATATATATATATATATATATATATATATATATATATATATATATATATACATATATATACATATATATACATATACATATATATACATATATATATATATATATTATATATATATACATATATACACATATAAATAAAGAAAAAGGACTTTATTGCTAATTCAACACTAATATAAAGAAAAAAATAGAAATGAGCCTACAAGCTTACTTGTAGGATAGCTTATAATTTTAATATAAAGTTATGATTATTCTCTTCTATTTTCATATTCATTCATCCACTGATCATTATCATTTTTCTTTTTAAATCTAATTATTTACTAAACCATTGGAAACTGTTTCGTCACATCACTGTCCCCTCACATCATGGAAAAAAATTCTATATGGTAGGTGACGTCTCATCACTGCTGGGCAAGTGGCATGATATCCAGATAACACAATTCTTTTAAGATTAGCAAATTTTTAACTGTTCATCCCAGATTATGCCTAATCACATCACAGCAAACTAGGCTGAATATTGGCTGACAAGCATAAATGCCAAGCAAAATCATTATGCTTATTATGTTTGTCAAACAGTTGCTCAGTTGTTAACTGTGGTCACTGAGGAGATATAGCCACTCGAAACTAAGCTTTAATTTTTTTTAGCTACAATTCCTAAAAAAAATAGTGTGCTACAAGCATGAGCATAGACAGCAGGCTAAATGCATGTCATACCCCCCTTCCCATTTATCACTCTAGAGGGTGACTGAACATAAAGTCAAGGTCGTAACTCAGTATGGTGTGGGGATATCTTACCAAGTGTGGGTGATTTTTTTTCTTTTTCGTTTTTGATATTAAGATAAAGTAATATATCATATTGAAATTAGTTATGTTCCCTTCCCAGAGTTTTTCTGGTGATGAGGAGTGATGTACTTAGTCAAGTGGGTAATCCAAAACAAAACCTAGGATTACACTAGGGATAATCACCATGGCACATTCTTGCATGAAATCTTTGGGCTAATTCACGCAAATCATTAGACAGCGGTGAGGAAAACAATACACGATACTGAGGGTGCTACGGCAAGAGAGACAGTCATCCTGGCTCAGACTAATAAATGCATACCTGACCTTACTTGACTAACTAAAAAATTCTCCTTTCACAAAAGGCTTCCCCACAATCTTGGTCTCATAGTAAAGAGATCCCAGGGACAGATTTTATATAAACTCAAAACTATGAAATAATATAAATCATGTCATGAGACACACAATATGTAGCTATAATGATCTCGTTTCTGCATTTTATTCCATAGATCAAGCAGCAGCAGTCTTTACCTGGCTCCTCAAGTATTCTCACAAAAAAAGATATCCTACCCAAAAGTAAAAACAGAGAAACATATCTGGACACAGAATAATCAAATAACCAGCAAATTATTTATAGATCAAGGTGAATATTCCATATGTACCTATGACAAACTCCATGGATTAGTGTTATCCTTCCATCATAAGGTAACGGCCACAGCTGGCATAATTAATCACATACCATGTGCGTTTCTAACAAATGTAGTTCAGTCCACTCATTTAACTTCAAGTATCCTTTACATATTCTCCTTGCTCTCTTTAGCATTCAGAACCTAGATTACTACTGAAAGATGCGTGATATATACAAGTATCATGAACTTCTTAAATATTATTGAAGCCTACACCAGATATGGTTTTAATCAACTGGCCCACCATAAGACCCTTTTACCACTGGTTAACTTAATATATTAAACTTCCAACACATAGAGGATATTCTGAACACACAAGAGTGAGCAGTCCTCTGTAGTAAATTATCATCAAATAAGAAAGTAGTCTTAAGCTGTACACTCCTAGAAAATGCACAGTGGAATTTTGTTAGATTGTGCTGTACCATTAAAGATATGCTAGTGGCAGGGATTAGTTGACACTGTACCACTATCAGGTCCTATATAACATTGTAGGGCTTCCATCATAAATCACAGCAAGTTTTCCAGTGGATTTGGATAGAACACAGCCACTATAGCTCTAAATACAGTCCCATTTTAAAAGTATCTTATATGTCAACCATATAACCTTTTTCTCATTATCATATTGTTTGTTTTCTATCAATATCTAAATGAAACTTTTCTTATCTCTGGTGGAGAGCTTGCTTACATTCTTGCATCCAACATAACTGTGGCACTGCAGTGTTAAATTATCATTGATACCCACCACATAAATGTTGACATGATAAGAATTTAGATTGGTTCCTCATTTGATGATGAATTACCAGAGAGGTCTAGAAGTTATGCTCTATCAGACTAAATGGAGTAGGTTTGTTGGCTTTTGCCAAAGCCCTAATATCTGCATGTAAGCTAGTCAGCCAATGGCAGATACATAAGTGTACCTGTGAGATTCACCATAATTCAAAGCTTTCTATTCTGAAGACAGGTTATCACTTTTTATAAAAAGTTATTATAGATGTTTCACAAACAATCTAATTATGCCATCAGAAATTAACATAATTCATCACAAATAATATGGTACTGCTTAAATGCAACAAGGTAAATGCTACTAGTCTGCCAGATCTTTCAGTAAGTAAATAAATAAATAAATAAATAAATAAATAAACAAACATATATATATACTTGTTTTGTTTTTTTAATCTATCAAAATCCAATAGACACATACTTTCATGGAAAGATTACAATCTTAATTCCAGTCTATCTGTGGTGCAGCATCAAATAATCATGATGTTTACTTTATTTCAATGCCTGTCAAAAATTTGCCAAAGGCTAAATCTTCACTGAAACAATGCATATTCTGACAAGATGGAACTTAAACTGACTCTTTATTTGACAATAAATCATCTGAGATGGTTATTAGGTATATCTTATAAACACATAAACAGAGGCAGGCTGTTGGCCTCTGCTTGAGCACTGATAAGTAAGGGCTAGGCCTATGCACAGGTCAGTAGCAGAAGTGCAAATGCATTACCAACAGTCAACCCCATCTAACGTAATACTTTCTTTATCTATAACCATAAAACAAACCTAACGTCTATCTATCCATTATACATAAATATACAAATGAATCTCTCTTGCCAGATGTGGTTCATCCTATTGGCCTGTTTGATCACAGCAAGTTTGAAACTGATTTGCAAAAACTGACCATACAATGATGAGAAGTTCAGCTTTGAAAGCAAATAAAAGTGTGGTGGAAAGTCTGTCTGTCTGTCTCTGTCTGTCTGTCTGTGTCTGTCTGTCTGTCTGTGTGTCTCTGTCTGTGTCTGTGTCTGTCTGTCTGTCTGTCTGTCTGTCTGTCTGTCTGTCTGTCTGTGTCTGTCTGTCTATATCTATCTATCTATATATATGTGTGTGTGTATGTGTGTGTATGTATGTATGTATGTATGTATGTATGTATGTATGTATGTATGTATGTATGTATGTATGTATGTATGTATGTATGTATCTATCTCTATCTATCTATCTATATACACAAGCCTACATGTAGAACTTTATATATCAATCTAAAATAGGTATATAAATATATAAAAGACAATTACAGTATATAGGCCTACCTTTCAAAATGGGATTTTTATTCTTATAATTTTTTTTGACTACATTTTTATCTACTTTAAACTAACAGTGACCTGTTAATGTCTAATGCAAAAGCAGAGGAGTATAAATCGATCACCCCAACCCCTGCTCCTATGTTGCTTCTGCAAAAGCCAAGAAACCTCCACTATGTACAATCCTATTCTGGGAAAACAACTTATAATTATTCCTTCTTCGATAGTAAATAGTTGGGAGTTCTTCAAGCCCTGCCTTGTCAGAATAGGCCCATGTATGGTGGATTAGCATGGCTCTACTAACATAGGCTACCTGTTAGTCTTTGCCCCATTGCTGACAGGCATGAGAAATGTGGCAACCAGACAAAGATTTACCAAAATAAACAATTTCTTTGAACTGATATTGTAGATAGGTTTAGATTCTATGACATGCCTTGAATTCCACCTGTTCTGGATTACCTAATTTAAGCTGATGTGCATCAGCTGATACAAAATGAATAGTTCTTTCCATTTCATATATATTTCATATTGACAAAGATAATATAATCAATAACCTTAATTTAGTTTCTAGTTTACACATAAAAAATTGAAGTAAACTCATCACATGATTACCAAGAGAAGGCGAAGGTGTCGGCCATATCTCCACGCGTCCCATTGGAGTGTACTTGGTAGAAGCGCAGGTAGACCCATGACACAGCGATGCCACATCCAACCATGGTGGCATAGAGGCCCTCGAGGAGGTCACAAAGGTAGAGGAGGAGTGCGGTGAGGAAGAGGCAGAGTGGAACGTGGCGGTTGGTGACTTTGCCAAGGGGGGTGCGAGTGTGAAGGAGGACATGGTCGGGCATGATCTGCTTGACGGCCACAGATAGCCCCGCAATGTACCCTGCCATGCCATTGATCTGCACGCTAAAGAGCACATCAGGGTCAAAGGTCACCATGTAAATAAGCAGGTAGAACAGGGCCGAAATGAACGCCACGCACACGTTCACCAGCAGGAAGAACAGCACCATCTCCAGGGTTCCCCACAGAGGCTCTATCAGCTTCCCACATAGTCCTAAGGTCACGAGGTCTACGCACACCTGCCACAGCCTGACCTCAAGGAAGCAGTGAGAGAAGGCCGTCCATAGCCAGAAAGTCGGCGGAAGGAGATATCCTGGAGTCACACTCAACACCTCCACGGCGCTCTCAGAGAACGACAACCCATAGCCGATTATCAGTAAGACACACACGACCTTCACGAACGACCCGGTATTCCCTATCACTGCAACGAGAGACTGTTTTATAACGGGCAAGTGGCGAAAAAGGGCACGAGCAGAAGCCATCTTGGTCGACGCAACAGATTCTCGCGATCACAACTAAAGAAATATCACTAATTTTATCACCGAATTATCCTCTCTAATTAACTCAAAACTTCGAAAAAAATATTCTTTAATTCAAACTTTGATTGATATATTTTATCAACTTAAAGCCATTTTTTGTATAGCAAATCCTCATGACATACCATTTTCAGAATCGTAAGAAACAAACGAGCAACGGGAAACGCAACAACAGTAAACAAACGGAAAACTGTCACAACAAATGTTAACATGAATCAAAATACGCACTAAAGATGATACGGGTGCAACTGTGGCATGCAAAATAATAATAATTAACTAACTGACAAATTAAATGACAATTAAAACTGCCCCAAACAAACAGCAAAACCAGAAGGACGAATAGCAGATTGCCACATCGAACGAGGAAAGTCTTTAATAAATGGAACACTGTCAGACGACGGTAAAAAGTTATAAAAATAAATTCCTCGTTTTTTTTATTATGTGTGTATAAGGAAAATGTCTTCGATAGATTCAATAGCAGAAATAAATGATAATGATATTGACTACAACAACAACAACAACAACAACAACAATAATAATAATAATAATAATAATAATAATAATAATAATAATAATAATGATAAAAATGATATTGATAAAAGGATGATAATATATATATATATATATATATATATATATATATATATATATATATATATATATATATATATGTGTGTGTGTGTGTGTGTGTGTGTGTGTGTGTGTGTGTGTGTGTGTGTGTGTGTGTGTGTGTGTGTGTGTGTGTGTTGTGTGTGTGTGTGTGTGTGTGTGTGTGTGTGTGTGTGTGTGTGTGTGTGTGTGTGTGTGTGTGTGTGTGTGTGTGTGTGTGTGTGGTGTGTGGTGTGCGTGTGTGTGTGTGTGTGTGTGTGTGTGTATGCATATGCATATGTAAAAGAAGACCAATAACAATAATGATTATGATAATAGTAACACTACTGCTTCGAGTACTTATATTAATACAACCAAAGATTATATCATTGAATACTTAGAGTCATAATAATGATAAGAATACCCATTATCATAATGATAGTGGTAATGATGAAAGTGATAATGATTTATTAGTAGTAATAATGAAAAAAAGGAAATAATGATAATGATAATTATGATAATTACAATGACAATGATAATGGTAATAATGCTAACAATAATAATGCTAACAACAATCTTGATGATGATAACAATGATAATAATAATAATGATAATGATGATAATAATAATGATAATGATGATAATAATAATGATAATAATAAAAATAATAATAATAATAATACAATACTACTACTAATAATAATGATAATAATAATAATAATAATAATAACAATAATGGTTGCAGCAACAATAACAATCTTAATTAATAATGATAATAATAATAATAATAATAATAATAATAATATTGATAATTATGATAATTACAATAATGCTAATAATGACAAAGACAAAGGTAATAATGATAACAATAATCTGAATAACGATAATAGTGATAATGATGATAATGATAACTATAATGATAATCCTAATCCTAATAATGATAATGATAATAAAGGTCACAGCAACAATAACAATTTCATCGATGATGATTATGATAATGATTATAATAATAAAAATAAGGATAATGATGATAAAAAGAATAGATAATAAAAGAGGATAAAGTGATATAATGATAAGAAGAAGAATAGATAATAAAAGGATAAAAATGATAACAATAATGATAATAATTATAGTGATAATAGTAATAACAATAGTATTAATATGAACAATAATGATAATGATAATGATAACAATGATGATAATGATAGTAATAATAGTATTGAAAATGATGATAATATTGATAATGGTATTAAGGAAAATGATAATAGCAATAACTATAATGATAATGATGAGAATAGTTATCATTATTGTTGCCATTATTATTACTGATATTATCCTTATCATTACTATGTTCAATATCATCTTCATCATAATCATTATCATTAATATCATCATTATTATCATTACTAATATCATCATCATCATCATTATCATCATCATTGGTTATTAGTAATAGCATTATCAACATTATTGTTATAATCACTGAAATAACAATAATATTTACGACGACAGTAATTAAAACCAGAAGCA